CCTGGTGTTTCTGGATCGTGTTCGACACTACCTGGTGTTTCTGGATCATGTTTGACACGAACCAGCATGTTGGTCAGGTGTACAATTCCTCACACTCCTGGCCCAGTTCCTGAATGTGAGGTTAATCAGAACTAAGTTTCTGCTGGATTTAATCTAAGCTATTTGAATGAATTTGATTTAAATATCTTTAAGGATCTCTATTTCTCTTAATTAATGTAATGTATTTGACTCACTCTGTGTCAGGTGCCGTGTCTAGAGTGGTTGTTTGGTTTGGGGCCTTGTCGGCTCATGTGCTACTATCTCCAATGTGTTTTACTTGAATAAAATATGATTTTGAAAAGGAAACTGTGACTGAATTGCAGTCTGTGTCAGTTAGTAATATAAAATGGGAATAGAAAGCAAGATAAGGTCAAAGCTAAAGGTTCATCTCAGAGGTATCAAAACACAGACACAGTGGGTCAAGTCAGCAGCTCATCATCATCTTCTCCAGGGGAATTCATGATAGAGAACAAATGCAGACCTTACCAACAACAACTGAATTTGTATGTGAATAAAATCAATCCGGGGCCAATACAACTGCAATTGAGAGGGTCCTATCCTCAACCAGCACCCTATCCAACACCAATAATCCTCAACTCCACTTTCCTGCCTTTTCCTCACAATCCTTGATTCCATTATTTGTTAAAAATCTGTCTCAGCCTTGAATATACTGAAAGACGCAGCTTCGACAGTCCTCTTTGGTGAAGAATTCCACAGATTCACTCCCTTCAGAGAGAAGTTTCTCCTCATCTCTGTCTTAAATTTGTGACTCCTTATTATGAGATGATGCTCACTCGTCCTAGATTGTCCCACAGGGGAAACAACCTCTCCACATCTCCCCTGTCAAGTCTCCTAAGAATCTTTTATGTTTCAATAAGGTCGCCTCTCATTCTTCTAAACTCCAATGAGTACAGGGTCAACCTTCCTAACCTGTCCCCAATCAGACAGCCCTCATACCCAGGATTAGCCGATGAACCTTGTCTGGACGGCCTCCAATGCCACTCTATCTTTCCTTAGATACAGGGCCCCAAAACTAAGAAATTATTACCTTGGAGGATCTGTTTATTGAATTAACTCCTGATTATTCAAAGTCTTTCAGCAAAACTTCCTCTCTAGTCCTACTAGTGTCATTGGATTCATTGTGGAAATCTACTGGATCCCTGCCCTCCCTCTCCAAGTTCTTTGTTCTTCTTCAGTCCCAAGGAGATTTTCTTAACCCTGGCACCAGGCAGACAGCACAGCATTTGGGACTCCTGCTCACAGCCGCAGAGAACACTATCTATCCCTCTAGTTCTGGGGAGGTAGACTCCCAAGGCGAAATATGAGATGTTGCTCCTCCAGTTTCCAGGTAGCGTCACTGTGGCACTACAGGAGGCCCAGGATGGACATGTCACCGAGGGAGTGGGAGGGGGTGTTAAAATGGTTGGTAACCAGAAGGTGTTGTCGATTATCTCTAGACTGTTAATCCACAGACCCGTATAATATTCTGGGGACCCGGGTTTGAATCCCGCCACGGCAGATGGTGGAATTTGAATTCGATAAATATCTGGAATTAAGAATCTAATAATGACCATGAATCCATTGTCAATTGTTGGGGAACTAGGGATGGGCAATAAACACTGCCTAGCCAGTGATTCCCTCATCTCATGAATGAATAAAGGAGTTCTATTTGCACCAACAGCAGTGTGTACTATCTACAAAATGCACTGCAGAAAGATCCTCAGCATCTTCCGAACCCATGGCCACTTCCATCTAGAAGGACAAGGGCAGCAGATATATGGGAACAACACCCCCTTCAAGATCCCCTCCAAGCCACTCACCATCCTGACTTGGAAATATATCACTATTCCTTCACTATAGCTGGGTCAAAATCCTGGAATTCCATCCCTGAGTGCTTTGTGGGTAAACCCTACAGCATATGGACTACAGCGGTTCAAGAAGGCAGCTCACCTTCTCAAGGGGGGGCAACTAGGGATGGGCAATAAGTGCTGGGCCCAGCCAATGGTGCCCATGTCCCGTGAATGAATGAAAGAATGGACTGACTCTTCAGAGTTGCTTTGAGGATATCCCTGAAAGGTTCCTATTCTCTCTCTCTGGGCTGTAAGCATGCTCTGTAAGGGATGCCATGGAAAAGCAAGTCAACCCAGTGCGGAGCTGGAGGAACACAGCAGGTCAGGCAGCATCAGAGGAACAGGAAAGTTGACATTTTGGGACCCTTCTTCAGAACTGGGGAGAGGGAAGGGAGCTGGTAAATAAATAGAGGGAGCAGGGGTTGGGCTGGATGGTGATAGGTGAGTGTAGGTAGGCAGTGGTGGGGATTGGTCAGTGGGCTGGGAGGGGCAGATAGGTGGGAGAGAAGATGTACAGGTGGAGTAGGGTCAAGGAGGCAAAAGGGAGGATGGGTAGGGCTGGGGAAAGGTAAGCAGGATGGTGATAGGTGGATGCAGGTGGGGGTAGTGGGAATTGGTCAGTGGGAAAGGTGGGGCAGTTAGGTGGGAAAGAAGATGGACTTCTGTCGGGTCAAGGAGGTGGGGATTAGAGGGAGAGTTAGGTGTGGGATGAAGCCAGGGGTGGGGAGATTTTAAAACTGGTGAATTCTATGTTCAGGCCATCAGGCTGTAGACTCCCAAGATGGAACATGAGGTGTTGCTCCTCCAGTTTGTGTGTGGTGTCATTGTGGCACTGGGGGAGGCCCAGGATGGACATGTCACCCAGGGAGTGGGAGAGGGAGTTAAAATGGTTGGTGACTGGAAGATGTTGTTGATTATCGGGTACAGAGCTCAGATGCTCCACGAAGTGGTCCCCGAGTCGGTGTTTGGTCTCACTGATGTAAAGGAGACCACACCAGGAACAATCCTGTCGGATTTGGACAGGTTGCCTTGGGCCTTGAATGGAGGTGTAGGGGCAGGTGTAGCACTTCCTGCAGTTGCAGGGAAAGGTGCCGGGGGTGCTGGGGTTAGTGGGGAGTGTGGAGCAGATGAGGGAGTCATGGAGTGAGCAGTCCCTATGAAAGGTAAAGGGTGGGGAGAGAAATATCTGTTTGGTGGAGGGGCTGGATTGTAAGTGGCGGAAATGGCGGAGAACGATACATTGGATGCAGAGGTTAGTAGGGGTAATGAGGTTAGTATGTGAGGACAAAGGGGATTCTGTCTTTGTTTTTGTTGTCGGGGAGGGGATGTGAGGGCAGAAGTATGAGAAGTACAAGAGATGCAGTTGAGAGCATTTTTGATCGCCGGAGGGGGGAAGTTGCGGTCCTTGAAATATGAGGACATCTGGGATGTACATGAGTGGAACGTCCATCTAGGGAGCAGATGCGGTGGAGGTGGAGGAATTAGGAGTAGAGATCGCATTCTTGCAGGAAGGTGGGTGAGAGGAGGTGTAGTCCAGGTAGCTGAGGGAGTCAGTGGGTTTGTCCAGGTAGCTATGGGAGTGCTCATTTGTAGGAGAGACTACAGGTCCCGGCAGGCCTTGCGCAGTGCCTGCGCTCACAGAGGATGACGGTCCGGGACGGGGAGCGCGCATGCGCAGTCGGCAAGCCACCGCCGGCGGTTGTGGCGCGTGCGCGTTGGGACGGGCGGAGGCTCGGGTGCGGGGCTGTGACGGTTGGGCTTTGAGCGGGGGCACGAGGCCCGTTGTCATGGAGCCGCGGCTGAGCGAGCTGTTCGGGGGTTTCCCGGGCCCTGCCGCAGGGGCTATGCCGCCCGGTGGAGGGGGAGCGCCCGCTGCTCCTGCACCGCTCTCCATTACTTCATGCTGCAGGCGCCCGTCACGGCAGACCGCCACCACCAGCGGCCGCGCTCGGGGCCCGACTCCCGGCCGGGCTCCCGCTACAGCCCCAGGCCTGGCAGGTGGGCCCTTACCTTGTGGGCTTCCTCATAAAAACAATAAGATCCCGCCCGCGGCCCCCAAAGGCCCGCACAAGAAAATCCGCAGCCGGCCCCGGGGCCGCAACAACCCGCCCTTCCTCCCGCCAGAGGTAAGAGGGGAATCGGGGACCGGGAGTGGGGAGGGGGCTGGGACTGGGGCTGGGGCTGTCTCGGTTTGTGTGAGTGCGGTGGCAGGGATTTGAACCCTCTTTCCCCCCTCCAGACTGCTGTTTACTAACAGCCCCCCCCC